TAATCCCTGCCTGGTTCCTTTTTCTCTCATGGTTGGGTTCCTTCTGGCGATTCCGGCTTCCTCACAGAGTCCGAAAATATAACTGGTTGGTTGATTGGTCTCCCCCCAATCTTTTTGTTTATTCCAGGCTTTAAAGTCGTAAGGAAGCAGCTGTTCCAACCGTTGCATTTCCAAATTCTCCCTAGTGGTGCCCAACTTTACAGGAGTGAATAAAGTGAATGTGATTGGTCGTTTATCAAGGGGGCGGGATTGTTGTGGCGGAAGGTTTACAAGCAACTTTGGTTGTACCCGGTTTGTCGGAAGCATCTTGCTAACAAGTTAGCAACTTAGTGCTAGTAGTTTTCCAATGGGAAATTCCATTGGGACCAAGTAGCACTAAATTGGTGACTTAGAAACAACACTGTCAAGGAACGCTATGGACAGAAGAAACATGCAAGAGGAGGAGAGTTCAGTGTCAGAGGTCGTGGATGAGTCTCCTCCGTCATACATTTTTTACTTAGAGGAGGAAAGCGGGGATGAAGATGTTGTGGAAGAGGACGCCAGGGCGGCAGAAGCTTGGTTTGGTGTAGAAGGCTTCCAGCCGTACATGTTTGAGCCCTTGCCTCGCAACGCTGCCAGTTCTGTTAGCTCTACGCCTGCTGAAGACACAGACGTCCATCCCCGTGAACACTGGGACGGAACTCAATGGGAAAGGAAATTATTCCTATTTCTTGTTTCAAACGTTGCGTACCGTATATTAGCTGTGACATATGAATCAAGATGCTATGACCGAAAAAATTTGATTGACAGATAACTGTTGCTATATGATTGGCCGAATTTAGGTGTACAAGCTGACGTATAACTAACTGGCCTGCAGAAGATAATGAAAAAAACCCACAGACCGGTCTGGCCCAACAATTAGGAATGTCTCAGTACAACTTTGTCCTTCATACCTGATATTGCAGCTTTGAGTATTGACTTATACCGATATTGACCCAATATGATATCAGCATAATTTAGACTTTGATTACTTATAATATAGGTTTAAATGATAGAAAAGGCTTGATCAAGTAGTGGAATCCAAAAGAGAACAGTAGGGATGATAACGGCTGACCCATTCATTGTTAGCCAGTGGCGTACATACATGGCTCTGTGTGCTGGTTAAAGCTGGGGCGGAGTGCTTCTATCAATGTGCTTCTATCAGAGATTAGATGCAGGCCGATATATAATCTGATATACATTTGTTATAGCTGATATTGCACCGATATCGATATTAGATCAGGACACCTCTAGCAATAAAAGCTGAAGAAGCAGGAAGCCAGGAATCCCCAAATACCAAGCAGGTTTAGATGATGAATGTGGTTGTCTTTGATGGGCGATCCCATGAAGAATTTAATGAAACTTTATTTTCCTAAACATGAAATTCATCACCATAGCAATCCCACCCTTTTCAGTCTCTACGCTGCAGTCTTCATAATTACTCTTTTATTTGTCATAGCCTAAATTAAAATACATTTTTATTTGTATAAGGGCTGGAAGATTTGTCCAAAACTTGTAAAACGATATATTTCTTAGTTTTGGTTGATAGGAAACTAAATTAAAAATGCATTTTATTCTATTCAGTCTGCTCTCTGCTTTGAATGTGCCATAACTCTTCAGAAAGAAGGTTGTAATGTTTTAAACATGGCTACCAGCTTCACTCTGGGTGCAGGCTTTTCTGCTTTCATCAGTCCTGCTGCGACGCCTCGGCCTCGAGGAGCCGGTCCGAGTTTTTTTTTTCCCTCTTAGATTGAGTCACGGTTTGTGGGTGTGTGCTGCGTTCAGGAGCAACAGGTTTTAGCTGATAGTTACAGATGTAATCTGACAGATTTCACCAGAGGGAGAAATTATTGCATCCATTTGAGCTCACTGGAAACCAAAACAAGTATTGCAAAAAATCTATAAAGCTCATCTGATCTACATAAGTGATGGATGTCAGATATTTCTTTAAGTTGTAAGGCAAAGAAAACAAAAAAATCATATCATTTTAATAACAATGGAGTTGATGAGTCATTATAAAGAGGAAGTCTAAGGAGCTGAACTCAGGACAGCTTCCTTAAGAAAATTTGATTCGATTTGGTTGCATTTATTTTAGTACTTTAGTCATAACGCATCTCTTTAAGAGCAGGAGTTCAGGCAAGCAGATGTGCGCAAACCCAATGTCAAGATGTAAAATAATCAGCAGTTACAAGCATACAAGGGGTGTAAGAATATATAGATTCTGTCAAGTATTGCAATTTTTCATTAGAAGATATTTTTATTGGTTAAAATATGGCTGAATGAATTTCAGATATAAAATGTATCTACCTATGGAAGCAAATAGTTACCATATTTCAAATGAAAAAGCATTTTCAGAAGTGCTTTTTCATTTTAAGAATGTAGCTGCATTGTTTGACTCATAAATGAAATTGGTAATCAATCATCCTGTTTGCATTTTCATTTTCTTCTTTAACGCTGCTCATTCTTTTACTTAATTCAAATGAAAAAGACATTTGAGATTTATTTTTTATTTATTTTTCTAAATGTACCCCAGCAAATACATACCAAAATTCAATTTGAAATGTAAAATATGAAATGAAAAAACATTTTCAGAAATGCTTTTTCATTTTAAGAATGTGGCTGCCTTATTTGACTCATAAATGAAATTTGTAATGATGATATGTGTTGTGAATTGGCGCTATATTAATAAACTGAATTGAATTGATTTTATTAATCGATTAATCTTTAACTGGAGTATAGAGAGTGTAAAACAAGCCTTTTAGCTGAGAGAGTGACCCACTTAGAGCAGTAATTATATTAAAATTGTAAAATATATAAATATTTTGCATTTAAGATTAAAGAAGATTTCTTTAAGGAACCCTTGTCCTGCATGAATATCATGTTTTTCTTGAATGATGGCGGCTTCTTCTTGTACCACTGTTTGAAGAAGGTGTCTTCCAAAAACTGGAAGTAGGTCTGCACTGGAAAAACGATCTAGAAATAAGTTAAAAAATGTCTGAAATTAAGTGTATTTACCCTTAATTTGAGTAGGTAAATGAGATAGTTTGCCAATGGAACGAGTATTTTTACTCTTGAAATAAGATAATTAGATAATATGTGCTTCAAATAAGACAATGCAATTGTTTTTTTCTTATTTTAAGTGAAAATTGTCTTGTTCCATTGGCAAAATGTCTCTTTCACCTCCTCAATCCAAGAACAAATGTAGCTACTTAAAAAAAAAATGACTTATCTAGATTTTGATTTTTTACAGTGTTGATCTTGACTCCATCATCAACCTGAAAAGGTCCCACAAGCTCATCTTTAATAATCCCAGCCCATACTAGTACCCCGCCTCCACCTTGCTGGCGTCTGAATGGATAAGAACTTGCTGCCCTTTACTGATCCAGCCTGGTGCCCATTCATCCATCTGGCCCATCAAGACTCACTCTAATTTCATCAGACCAAAACACCTTGGAGAAATCAGTCTTCAGATCTTTCTTGGCCCAATCTTGACGTTTTTGTCTTGTGAGTCTTCTTCAAATGTGGCCTTTTTTCAGCTTTCCTTACCTTGGCCAGGTCCCTGAGTATTGAGCACCTTCTCAGCACTCCAGACATGTTGCAGCTCTGAAATATGGCACAACTGGCGGCCAATGGCTTCCTGGCAGCTTCACGCTTGATCCTTCTCAATTCATGGGGAGTTATTTTGCATCTTCTTTTTTCAACACACATCTTGCGCCTCTGTTGGCTATTTGCCATGAACCGCTTGATTGTGCGATGATCCCACTTCAAAAGCTTGGCAATTCCCAAACTGCTGCACCCCTCCGAAAGATATTGTTTGACAATTTTTTGTTTTTCAGAGTCTGTCGACCCATTTTGCCAAAGGAAAGGAAGTTGCCTAATAATTAGGCACACCATATATAGGGTGATGATGTCACTAGGCCACACGCATCAAAATACACCACAGCGTGGCTGGCCAGAACAGTCTAAAAGGAGAAAAAATAATGACATCGTCCCCTTGTTCCCCTGATCTGAACCCCATGGAGAACCTGTGGTCCTTCATGAAATGTAGAAAACAGTGTCTGGGAGGCTGTGGTGGCTGCTGCACGCAATGTGGATCGCAAACAGATCAAGACACTGACAGCATCATGGTGATGAAAGGTGGCTATACTGGTCACTGATTTGTTTTTTGTTTCATTTCCGAATTTTGAGTTGTTATATTTTGGCTTACCTGGTGAAAATAAACACGTGAGATGGATATATATTTGTTTTTTTTATTACGTTGCCTAATAATTCTGCACAGTAATATTTACCTGCACACACAGACATCCTCATAAAATGGCCAAATCTAACTTCCAAAAATGTGAAACTTTGATATATGGAGTCTTTCGGTTGATTGAGAACGCAACTGTGGCCCAATAATAATAAAAATCCTCAAAAATACAACTTGCCTAACAATTCTGCCTATATATATGTATATATATATATATATATATATATATATATATATGTGTGTGTGTGTGTGTGTAAAACACATACATGCATGCTTGTATGTGCAGGGTTTTTGCAGAAGAGGAAGTCATGGTTGGATTAGTGCATGCATGATGTTGTTCTGGGAAGTCTGACTGTTAGGAGTTGATCTGAGAGAGTCAGCCTGTAGGAAGCATTCTCTCTAAGGCGGTTGGTCTTTCTAGGTGGCGCTCTGTAGCATTGACATTATAGTAAAGGTTTAAAAAGCCTGTGTCCAATATCTGTGGGGTCAGCAGGAATGTTGGCTGTCTGTCCTGTTGCTGACTCTAGAGCAGTACAGGTTCTGGGTGGAGGGAAGTGCAGATGCTGATGATCGTCTCTGCAGACCTGATTGTTTGCTGTTCTTGGACTTGGCTCATTTTCCTGGATGAGTCAAACCACATAATGATGGGGGAACACATGATTCACTATAGCTGAGTTGATTAAATTGATCTGGGAGGAGAATAAAATAATTTCTTAATGTGTCTTGTCCTCAGGTTGAGTTCTCGTACCCCCCACTGATTCCAGACGAGGGTCACGACAGCAACCTGCTGCCAGAGGAGTGGAAGTACCTCCCCTTCCTGGCTCTTCCTGATGGAGCCCACAACTACCAGGAAGGTAGGGATCTGGAGGACCTCAGTCTGTACAGGCAGGGGGTGTGCTGTCATTTCCTTTCAAATAAATGGAAAGGAAATAAAAGGCAGCTTCGAACAGTGGCTGAACTAATCAGCTGCACATATCAGGGATCGTCACATGAAGGCAAACAGAAGGAGCCGAGCCAAAGATAAGATACAGGCTGCAAACCTGTCTGTGTCATCGCTGTTTAATGGCTTTATTTTGAAGGACTGGGAACTCAAATTCAGGCCTTCCTCCAACCAGATTTCCTGTCTAATATTTAACTCCTTATCTGTAAATCTGGATCCGTATCGACCTCTTTCCTCTCTGCATAATAAATCTTTTATACTCTCTATTGCCCCAGTGGCTCCTAAACCTGTGCAGCTCAGGGAGGTGAGTGGGTTTTGGTTACAGAGGAACACAAAGGCTGCTGTGAGAAGACAAAGTGGATTACTGCCAGGTCATCAAACACGTATATAAAGGTGAAGTTATAAATCCTTTTAGAAAATACAGTCTGAAACTTTAGTTCCCAGCTTCTAGGTCTGAAATGAACCTGCTTCTTCTGATCAAGCCTCCATCCGATTTCCTCTGATTCACATTATTTTTCATTGATATCTTCTGAAGATTTATTCACGTTTTTTAATCCAGAAGTCATTCATCTGTCATGATCTGTATTTTAGATACACAAAGAAAGGCCGACTGTGTTCAGGCTTTGGGCTTTCTTCATAGTGACGCCTCCTTTGGTGGCTGTTTAGGAAGCTTTACCTAATTCAAACTGCAGTTTAAGACTGGATGGAGTTTAGTTTATGTCCAGTTTGGATAATATTTATGTGAATTATGAGATTTTATGTCTTCTGAAAGCAGAAGAACCCAAATTGGTTTTAAAACCAGGAGCTTTACTCTCAGCTCTGAGTCAGCAGTTTCTTTCCAGTAAAACTCAGTGATATTTTAATGTGTTTAGAGGCATTTTGTGGTTATTCCTGTTGGTGACATCTCATCTGATCAAACTTCTGAGTTATTATTTCCCTCCTGTCCCTCAGGATTATCCTTCTGTATACTGCATCTTAACTCTACTAGAGCTCTCCATGTTCATGACGCTGCCGCTGGCGCCTCTCCTCTGAAAGCTTTAATCTCAGCTGTGCAACCTCTAAGACTCTCAATCAGAGAAAATCTTCTCAGAATTAAAGAACTCTCTTTGGTTTCTCCCTCTGATGAATCAAGGCGGATTGTTGCGACATTAAGTTTGCCAGAGAAAATTGAAGGAGTCTGAAGAGTCTTGACTAAAGATGAGGATCAGCTGCTGTCCTGATAGCTTTGACTCTTTATTGATCTATTCTTTAAACCTGACTTTTTTCCTGATGTAGAAATAGAATGTGTAGACTTATAATGACTAAAACTTTCTTTGCCTTTGGTTTATTGTTTTTTGTTAACCTTTCTTTTTCAAATTTTCACTAAGCTCCTTTCTTAAAAGTGGTGGTAATAAAAAAAAAACTTTAAAGAGTATAACTGATTATAATTTACTTAATTTGAAAGAGATTTTCATAAAAAAAAAATCATTATATATATGGCAGCAACTAACGATTATTTTGCAAAATGGTTAATCGATTAATAGTCGGATAGCAAAAGGTTCCTTAAATAAGACTTTTTGCAAAAATAAACCAAGTGAAACTAAAACATTTCTACATGAGCAGTTCTGGATAGAGCTTTTAGACTGATGAAAAAGATTTTATATCATAAATGCTAAATGTTTATCTATGTTTTTTTTACAATCTTGGTATAATTAATGTTCAAGGTGGGTTGCTCTGTCAGCTAAAGGCATGTTTCTA